CATTTGATCAGGACGATTGGGCTGCATGGTCGAAGTTCACAGGCTCCGTAAGCATCCAGGTAAAATTAAACACTATACGATGCTATCACCGGCGACTTATGTATCGGCTTTGGCAGTCAACCTATAGACTTATAACTTGTGAATAACTGCCTTCGATGAATATATTGATTTTTATTACTTTTTGCAATTTATAACGCCCTGATGTTCGGATCGGCATCCACGAGTACATTTATATTTGCCTGTGGACACTGGCCTTTCCTAAAACATTTATTTCTTGTTCTTTCCTATTGTCTCTTCCTCATCTGTAAATTGTTATTTGCTACGAAGATTTAAGATCCATTATAGAGTTGTAACTCGTCTTTATTTGCTGCCCTATAGTCATTCCTGGTAATGATCTCAGTTGAATTTCATTCATCCACTTTTTGATTTTTTGATTTGTCTCTAGATCGTTGGTGACGATCTGACTGTTACAAATCCTAAACGTGTCCAGACGGCGATCGATAAGAAGGCCTGCAATTGTCTCCTGCTTAAAGTCAATCAGATTGGTAGTGTAACCGAATCAATCCAGGCCTGCAAAATGAGTCAAGCTGCTGGTTGGGGCGTAATGGTGTCGCATCGCTCTGGCGAAACCGAAGACAACACCATTGCCGATCTAGTCGTTGGTCTGCGCACGGGTCAGGTCAGTTTTTTCTGCGTCATTGTGCAGATCATAGCTCATGAGCTATTATTTTTTCTGTGCCAACCCTTAAGGAATTTGGGTAGAATATATGCTGTCTTTATTTTCTAAACCAGAGTAAGGCTTCGTTCCAAACTTGGTGTATTCGTGTCATGATACCAAGATTAACACAAATTTCACGTCCTGGGCCCCGTGACAACTACATTCATTATTAATCTGTCATTTTCAAAAATGGCTTGTCCTAACAGCTGCGTGTCAGTTTATTATCTGAGACTATGACTTTCATGTACCCTTATCCTTATTTTTATGACTCGCTTTACAGATTAAAACGGGGGCGCCATGCCGTTCAGAGCGTCTGGCCAAATACAATCAATTACTTCGCATCGAAGAAGAGCTTGGCTCGGCCGCCAAGTATGCCGGGGACAATTTCCGCCACCCTAAATAGATCTCCGGTAGATGAGGACTTACTTGACAATCGTTTACAGATCAATATTGTCAAATAGCATTTAGCTTCAGACTCGCATCACAATACTTCCTTAGTCGTTAATAAATTTGATTGCGTTACTTTTCCCCTAGCAATCATTGTTGCATTTCCTATTCACCTTTTTTCAAAGATGAATTCTGTTTACTGCCCTACGTTTCTCATTTCTCCGGAACAGCTTACTCGTCCGCCGAGTCGCTGCCTTGTAGTTTTATAATTTAGCTTAAAGATGGTTCATTGTTCCGTGGCGAGGGAAGTGACTAGTGGAGAAAAATAGTGAAAGAATAGCATTGGAGACAGGGTAGAAATAATTAAGATAAGAAGGAAGACACGATTAAAGGTGGAGACGATATATGATGGTGAGGAGGGAAGTGGAAGCAGGGGGGTAAATAAATGAAGACAGTGGTAATGATACAAAACTAAAAGTTAACAAATAACTGTAAGCTAAGAGTGAAGAAATCGATCGAGGAGATAAGGCAAGAGGAAATATGTGACGGGACGTAAAGGTTAGGTTGTAGTTGGAGGAGAGTGATGAAATCACGAGGCGAAAATAAAGGGATGTATTTGCCGATGGGCGGCGAATATGGAAGACAAGACCGGAGGTGAAGGGCGTATAGACGAATATGGGGGGAATATTGATTAAATGATTAGAATGGTCTAGATGACTGTAAGAGTGAATAGTTAATTAGAAGGGGAGGAAATTGATAGGAACCTAAGTGATTCGAAATGACTGGAGTGAATATATGACTCGAAGCAGAGGTAAAAGGCCAACGGAGGGGTGGTATAGTTGAGAATTGTAAATAATTCTATCATGACGAAATGGTAATAGGGAATAGGCAAAGAGGTAAGACGACTATACTTTAAGGGGGTGGTGAGGACTAAGACTGAAGAAAGGCGAAGAGGCTAAGTGACGGCAAAAAGAGGATGGATAATGAAAATTTAAGAGGGAAGCAAAAATTGGAACCCAATGTTGAAGAGATCATTAAAGAACAAGAGAATGGGGTTACTTTGAAGCGAAGAAGAAATACGAGATAGCTGTAGGCGAATAGGTAAAAGGTGACTAGAAGAAGAGGAGAGGGAGTTACATTGATGAGAGAGATCAATGACTGAATGCGGAGAGCGAAGAGATAATGGAAGGGAGAGGAGACGAATACAGAAGAGTAAGGGTGAGGACGTAGAGGGTAAGGATGACTGGAAGTGAATATTTTTGAGGATAAGAGGATAGAGATAATTGGATGTTCGGAGTTAAGGAATGGCATAGCGAAGATCTTATATTTATAGAGGCGAAGAGCTAAGATATGTGCGGAAGCAGACAGGAAAGAGCTAAATTGAATCAGAGACGGAATAGATGTCTAATGAATAAGAGGGAATAGAGCACTAGATGAGAGGAGGAATGAGATTAGTGGCAAAAGGGGGAGAAATAAATGATGGTGAAGAGGAAAGAGTTTTTTGAGGCGAAAAGGGATTGCTAGTGAATGACAATGAATATATGATTG